GTTGATCCAAACAAACCTAGCACAGCCATTTTTCAGAGGGCTTTTGCCATCTTGATCATCTAACATTTTTTTCTTTTAGGTCCTTACTGAGTCTTCTTACACTTTGGCCTCTCTCTTTCTGTCTGTCTCTCAATCTCTCCCCCATCTCTCTCTCTCTCTCTCTCTCTCTCTTTGTGTATGTGAGTGAGTGTCTGTGTCTGTGTGTGATGCGTTCCTATGGCTCCCAAACTCACCGTTCAGCGAAGTTCCTCCATAGCGCCGCCATTTTCGCACCCTCAGTAAGCGAGGGCAGGGCGCGAAAACACTTGCGGCGGCCATTTTGGAACCGCCGATCAGCTGTTTAAAAAAACATTGCAATGCGAAGATCGGTAAGCGAAACGCTTACCAATCATTGCAATGTGATGTTTTGCCTATTCAGAACATCGCAATGCGATCGCATTAGCGATCTAAAAAAATAGTTTGCTATGCGGATTGATCATTAAACAGTGCGCTCACTAAGCGAGGCACCACTGTATTTAGGATAATTTTGGCAAAATGTGCTTTTTTAAAAAAAAAAATCGAAACACTCTTTTACCATGTGTCCCTTCTTCTCCCTCTGATGCTTGTAAGGAAAAGAGGTGGGAAAGAAAGGAATAAGCAGCTTCTGGGCAAGCTTTCAGCATTTGATGATGATGGTGATGATGATCTAAAGTCACAAAATAGCAGGATCAGTTTTAGGTGAGATGATGATAATTTGAAGTTACAAAAGGGCAAGAATAGTTTTAGATGGGTGTATGAGTTGGAGGGACATCAAATTAGTTTGGTGTTTGAGATAGACAACCCAAGGTGAACCTGAGATTTTAATATGCAATTCAAAGCTTTAGTTGACTGATACAGACTGAATTTTTAGAATTGTGTAGTGGATTATTGTAGTGGTTATTGGATTGTCACTTTTGTCGCTTTTATGCCATAACTGGACAACTTTTTAGTTTGCTGGAGTTAAGTAGAATAGAATTGTGCTTTCAGCTCAGTTTCTCTTCTTTGTAAAACAAAATGTATTTCAGGTGAAATTGTGCATAATAAGAGGGGGAAGAACAGACATATTTAACTGCTGAAAGAATTAGTCAACTCGTACAAGCACTGTATAATAAAAAAAAAAGAAGAACATCCAAACAGTTTGAAGTACTGTATTGGCTTCATGAAGATTTCAAAGAGCAAGTGGGGTTAATTTGTGGGCCATGTAGTGGAGCTAGCATATATAGGCATGGAAATGCCCCTTTCCACTTTTTGAAAGTAGAAGGTGTCTTCATGTACTACAGAGGGGAGATAATAGTATCTCCAAAAATAACTGCAAACAAGAAATTCACTAAATGAAGCCCTCACTCCCCCTTGATCCTGGGAAAGAACCATGTTAACATCTGGCATGTTTTCCTTCCTGACCGTTTATTTTAATATCAATATGGAGAAAAATCCAGCTATTATATTAGAAAACAAAAGAATAATAAATCTCCAGGAAGTGATGGAATACCGGCTGAATATTACAAGAATTTTGAAGAGGTTCTAGGTTTACCCTTTAAAGAATTAATAGAAGAAATAGAAATTTTTTAAAAAAAAGAAATTCCCATTTCATGGAAAAAAGCAATAATTTCAGTGAGACACAAAGAAGGTACGGATCAATCAGAAATATAAAACTAGCATCTGGGACGACTGCTGGTCTGGCGTAGGACACTGTGGCTTCTCACCACCCCTGAGGAAGCCAGGGCAGAAATGATGCAGGTCCCAATCCATCTGGGGGATGAGAAAAGGGTGCCTGAGGTGAATGGTTGGCACCCAGGGAGAGTTTCCTAAGAGAAAGCAGGGGGAAGGGACACATGGAGCCAGAAATCCTGCCTGCGGTTTGGCCTTACAGCAAAATATGTAAACTCAGATGACAAATAATGCTTGCTTTTTTTCCCTTATAAACACCTAGATGATATGGAAAGACTTCTTAGAAAGGATGCAGTCTTTCTCTGTTTGATGAAAAAGTAAAAATACAACATGTAGAAAATGTATGTGACACTTTGTGTGCAGCAGTTTAAAGCGTTCTTTTAAAAAAAACCAACACGGTCTTCTCCCTTGTGTGTGTGTGTGCCAGTAGCTTGAAAATAAATGACCACGTAGTGTTTTTTTAAAACATTCATGAACTTTTACTATAGAACATGTAGAATCAAATAAACTGTGCTCTGACATTTGGTACTTTAGAAACAGATTTCTGCTTGATGTATTTGAATTAGTATATTATCTTTAAACATGACTGTGGCGATCCCCTTTTGTGCCCTTTATACCTCAGGGCTCCACAAAGGTAAATACGCCCTTTTCGCTGCCACCAGGTATTATGCTAATACCAAATCAAATCCCACACACTCAGGAGCTCTCACCCCAAAGGGTCATACAATTTCAGGAATCAAGGGTTTTGAATAAATATTCTTTTATTATTGAACAAATCATAAGGAGAATCAAATATAACTGTTTCATATGTTCATGTATAATAAATCAGGTGTTAACGTATATCAGTTCATGTCAATATTTTTCTTGTTATACTTAGGCATTCATTCCTGCTTGTTCACTCTATTTAACTCTTTCAATTCCCTTCCTTGACCCTTTTTGCTATTCCTAAATCCTAGCACTCTCTTAATAACTTCTGGTCCCTAACTCTGCCTGAACCTCTCTCTCTCTCTCTCTGATTCCATCCCCTAACTGTCTCACCCAGCTGTTCCAACTGTCATTCTGACTCCGCCCCTCCTGCTCCATCCCCTGATTGACATGTAGGAATGACGTCATATTTTGGGTTCCGTTACAATGACAAACATAGTTTCTCCTTCTGATATACATCTAACATAACTAACTTAACTTTTAGACTCTCTAAGAGGCATCGCTTCCAACAGGACAACTAACTGACCAGATGGCAACCAACTGCCCCTTGCTTTAGAGATCTACCTGACAGTGAACCTTCCAAGCTTCTCTTGGTTAATGCCAGTCAGATTCTGATGGGGTTAAACTGCTCTGTCATGCCAATGTCACATTCCATTCTCTCCCATATAAAGGTAAAGGTTTCCCTTGACATTTAGTCCAGTCGTGTCCGACTCTAGGGGGCGGTGCTCATCTCCGTCTCCAAGCCGTAGAGCCAGCATTTGTCTGAAGACAATTTCTGTGGTCACGTGGCCAGTGCGATTAGATACGGAACGCTGTTACCTTCCCACCGAGGTGGTACCTATTTATCTACTTGCATTTACATGCTTTCAAACTGCTAGGTTGGCAGGAGCTGGGATAAGCGACGGGAGCTCACTCCATCGCGTGGATTCGATCTTATGACTGCTGGTCTTCTGACCTTGCAGCACAGAGGCTTCTGCGGTTTAACCCGCAGCGCCACCACGTCTCTCATCTCTCCCATATGTAGACACATAGTTACATCAAGTTCACATGGAAGGCAGATGATGGTTGCTCTGGAAAACAAATGGTACAGAAAGAGGCGCATGGGGTACCATAAAGAGCACCACTGTTGCTGGGGGAGAATCTAAAAAACTGAAGTCAAACAGATACACACACACACACATCCCAAAAACACAAGCTTTTTCTGAGCTCTGGAAGAACATGCAGGGGCTATTGGTGGGCCCCTCTGGGATCTTCATCACTGTCCTGCCCAGGAGCCGGTTCATTAGTGGGAGTTCTCTTTGCTTCACTATGAACACACACAGGACCAAAGAGACACTGACAACCTACCTATTTTTTTAGGGGTTGCATCTTTTTTTGGAGGCCTGTGTGGACTGTAAACCCAGATCCCAAAAAAGGTGTTCCAGGCCCTTGGCAAATTCCCGTGCAGACAGGTAAGACAGCATTGTTAGGCGACCCTTCCCAGCATCCTCAAGCTCACATGGGGATGTGGGACAGTCTGAACCACAACTACAAGCAGCCTTAAAGCATGGGACTTTGTCTCTCCTTCGATGGAAGGACTGCTCAGCTGCTTCTGGAGATGCCTCTTTCATGTCCTTGGAAGGGTGAATCTCGCAACCACAAGGTCAATGTCAAGACCTGAGATTAAGAATATGTGGATGCAATAATGATATACGCACAAATATGGAAGCCAGACAAGATCCCTGATGAAGACCAACTAATAATGAAGGTGTTGAACGGTGCAGAAATGGATAAGATCTCAACACTAATGAAAGCAAACGGACATTATGAGCCCTATGAAGAAAGATGGTCAGAATTTTATAAAGTCCTAGGTCAACATTATAAGTTATATTAAAGATCTGCCTTGCATATCAGAAATTGAAAGACGAAAATCTAAAGATATACAATTGTGTGAAAAGATACAGAATTTTGTTTGAGACTGTTATTGTTGAAACTTAATAAAAATAATAAAAAAGAATCGTGTAGCTAGAGGAGAAATTCAGATCATCCAGACTCATCCCCACGTATGTAGAATACCATGTCAACCAAACTTCTTTCGGCACTAAACACCTTTGTATCTCATTTTCATGGAAGACTATGACAAATTCATAGATCTATATTTACACAGACACACACACATGAAGCACAACAAATCATAGAATCTGGTGTAGATGATGCTATCACTAGGGTGGATTTGCAGCTGACTGATGGACTGTACCGAAAGAGTAGACCTAAGGATCCCTGTTCATCCTGGAGAGAGGTGAGAAGTAGAATACTATAGAGCCCAAGGTGGCTCCCCACCCTTATAAAAGGCTTCCGTGAAGAATAACAGAGGACATCAAATATGCTAAACTCAGCTTAAAACAACAACAATAATTTCAGTACAGATATATGCTTAGTTCTACATTTGGGCAGAAAAAATCCTGTTTACATATATTGGACGGTGGATAGGAAGAATGGTTTGATAAAAGAAGAGACTCCCCAGGAAGGGGGAGAACCCTTCCATCATTGCAGGTTCTTGAGCCCCAGATGGATTGGCAAGAATGCTGCAGTTGGAGACTTCCAGCCTACACAAGGAGGGTTGTAGGGTTAGGTGACTCTGTTCTTTCTAACACTACAGATCTATGATTCTGTTAATCCAAATTCTTCCTGTGCCACATAGATTTCTACATTTCCTCTCCCATGCCAGTTATCTGATGGATACTAATTTTGAGCTGATGTGGAATATCATTCTATGCTTGCCCCGTGCTTTGTCCCTGTGGCTTCTCTACTGTCCAAACTCACACTGTAACTCATGCAACCGCTTTCAACACATGCTCCTTAATAAAAAATTCTCAACAGTACGATTCCCTGATATCTCAAGATGTTTCCTCCTATCCTTGAAGCTCCTTCCAGGCTTGATGTTTCTCATCAGTATATGTTCTTTGATGTCTCCTAAGTATTTTGCTTTCAAGGAACCTCCTTCTACACTCCATGCATTTACACAGTTTCTTCCTCGTGTGAGTTCTGCGATGCTTCTTAAGGTATCCATTCTGACTGAAAGTCTTTCCACACTCCGTGCATTTATATGGTTTCTCCCCTGTGTGGGTTCTTTGGTGGTTAGTTAGGGTTCCACTTTCACTGAATCTCTTTCCGCACTCCATGCACTGATAAGGCTTCTCACCTGTGTGACTTCTTTGATGCTTCTTAAGATACCCTTTCTGACTGAAGCTCTTTCCACACTCCATGCATTTATATGGCTTCTCCCCTGTATGACCTCTCTCATGTCTAGAAAGACTTCCGCTCTGACTGAAGTTCTTTCCACATCGTGTGCACTTATATGGTTTCTCCCCTGTGTGAGTTCTTTCATGTTTAGTAAGCTTTCCGCTTTCACTGAAGCTCTTTCCACACTTCATGCATTTATATGGTTTCTCCCCTCTGTGAGTTCTTTGATGGGTAGTAAGTGTTCCACATGCACTGAAGTTCTTTCCACATTCTACACATTTATATGGTTTCTCCCCTGTGTGAGTTCTCTCGTGTCTAGCAAGGGGGCCACTGTAACTAAAGTTCTTCCCACACTCCATGCATCGATATGGCTTTTCCCCTGTGTGACTTCTTTCATGCTTTGTAAGGTATCCTTTCTGACTGAAGCTCTTTCCACACTCAGTGCATTTATACGGTTTCTCCCCTGTATGGATTCTTTGATGATTAGTAAGTGTTCCACTTTCACTGAAGCTCTTTCCACACACCATGCATTTATACGGTTTCTCCCCTGTGTGAGTTCTGTGGTGCAGAGATAGTTTTCCACTTTCACTGAAGCTCTTTCCACATTCCATGCATTTATATGGTTTCTCCCCTGTGTGAGTTCTCTCATGTCTAGAAAGGCTTCCACTTTGATTGAAACTCTTTCCACACTGCATGCACGTATATGGTTTCTCCCCTGTATGGGTTCTTTGATGAATAGTGAACACTGTGCTGTGACTGAAGCTCTTTCCACACTCCATACACTTATATGGTTTTTCTCCTGTGCGAGTTCTATTATCGGTAGTAATCATTTCTCCAGTGTCACCAAAGCTTATTCCACACTTCATACGTTTATATGGTATCATCCCTGTATGATACACTGTACGTTTTCCAGTATCGCTGAAACTCTTTCCAGATGCCCGGCATTCGTGTTGCTTTTCTTTGGAGTAGATTGTGCAGCGCCTACTTATTTTTATTCTACTTTTCAGTTGCTTCTCAAAGACTACACATTTATTCCTACCCTCCCCCTTCAGATCCTCTTGTACAATCGAGAGTTCATTTGTATCTCCGCCTTGAAACTCTGGGGAGTCTTTTCTATTCTTAGACTGATTTCGTTCATAATTGTTCTGTTCCTTTTGATGCCTAACCCAATATTTTCTGTCTTCATGCTTTCTCTTTTCTACAGACCCCAGTGATGTCATGTGGCAGCTTTCACAACTCCAGGCATCACCTGACAGTAGATCAAAGGAAACAAATTATACAATGTTAGCAAATTTCAGGCAGAGACCATGGACCTTACCATGAATCATGTTCAATTATTCATTTTTATGAGTTCAGCATCTCCAGGATTCCTATTTGTCTCTTGTATGCCCCCTGCTGCAACCTAGATTATGTTTTTAATACCTTGAATAAAGACAGTAATTCTTTCTAGGTTACCCTCCCTCCCTCATTTCACTAAGCACATCAGACTATGCAGGCTTTTTCCACCTGTTATCCCATTACAAGTGCAGTTTCCATATGATCACAAAAGAAGGCTAAAAAACCAGAATTGCAGGAAAGGCTGGGAAAGAAAATACAGTGGTGCCTCGCTTAACAACGATATTCCGTTCCAGGAAAATCGCCGTTAAGTGAAAACATCATAAAGCGAAAATAAAAACCCCATTGAAACGCATTGAAACCTGTTCAATGCGTTCCAATGAAGTAAAAACTCACAGGCCAGCAAAGATCCTCCATACGGCGGCCATTTTCGTTGCCTATAAAGTGAGGAATCCGTCCCTAAACACAGTGGGGAGCCATTTTAATCACCCGACGGCCATTTTGAAACCGCCAATCAGCTGTTCAGAAAACGTCGTTTTGCAAAGAATCGGTTCCCGAAGCAGGGAACCAATCGTTGCAAAGCCAAATTCTCCTATTCAGACCATCATTTTGCGATCGCAATTGCGATCGCAAAAAGATCGTCGTTAAGCAGTTTCGTCGTAATGCAGGGCAATTGTAAAGCGAGGCACCACTGTACAACAACGCAAAACAGATTCACCATTCTGTGATCCCCACTCACTTGGCTGCACACAGAGGCAAGGGGAAGAGTCCACATCTGTCTAGACCCAAAATCAAAACCACACACGTGTGTGATGCTGTTTTTGGTTTATAGGGGCTTCTTCACTGCAGCTTCTCAGTGCATGCATAACCACAGATATTGCCTATTACTTAGCAACAATAAATGTCACCATCTTCAGACCTTTTCTCTCAATTAACTGGGTCTCCTTGTCTATTCCTCGCCGACCTTAGCAAGAGTCAAGCTACAGACATGCAGGATTTTGCATACAGAGTCAATTATTGGCTCATTCGAGAAGGCCAGGGAGGCAAAGGGGCAAAATAGAGACCAGCCAAAGGCACTCAGAGGAGACACATCTCATCATCTGTGTTCTCATCTGTCTCCTAGATATTCACATGAGTTACTTCTAGAGTTAAGCCAGTTTTGAGCCTACAGGTTGGCAGAGAATAATGGCAGAGACAGGCATTCAGTGAAACTAAAGGAGTGTTCTCGAATCTGTTGTCCTAGAAATTTAGACCAGCTTTCAGGAAATACATATTGCTGATACTGGAGGAAATTGCTCCTTCTGCATCAGCTGACCAGACTATGAAAAGCAGGTGGACTCAGTATATCTTGTCAGTGATTAATGTCACTGACTAAACAGAGACAGGAAAATTCACGGACTCTCCTTCACAGCCCCATCACACACCTGAACAGGTATTTGCCACTTTCCACTTTTCCTCACAGTCCTGGATAAATGGATCTTCCCCTTCTTCCAATGAAGAGATGAGATCTGGTTTAGCAATTTCTCCCAAGGTAGGAGTCAGGCAGGTCCCTGAAAAAGATTAACGAGTAGCAATTTCACTTGCTGCTCTTTATCTGATATACTGATGGATAGCTCTGTGTTTTAGTCATGGAGTTTGATTCCAACCTCCCCCCCCCCGGTGCCTCTCTGAGAAGGGCTGGACTCGATAATCCATAGGGACCCTTCCAACTGTCCAGTTCTAAGATTATTATTATTTATTGGATCCTTTCAAGAGGAAAGGTGGGGTAAATATTTTTAATTGATCAATCAATCAATCAGTCAGCTATTACTGCAGACCTCACTAGGTGTTTGTGGCAAGAGATTCCAGCTTTCTCTGGAACATGGGGAATGCTGCTCATCAAGACGGAAGATTCAACCCTTTGCACTACGTCTGTGCTGGCTATTTTGCCAGAGTCTTCTGGTGTTCTGATTTCATTCACCATCCCATTTCTCAAGTGACCCTCGGACCCCTGAGCTCAGCTAGAATAACAACTGCCAAATCCAATACCTGACCCCCAAAACCCCAAATCAAATTGCATTTTATCAACATAGCAATCAGCAGCACGGTGTTAGGTTGTGTTCTTGATTGTTATCCAGCCCACTACCACAAACAGATACTGAAGCTGAGGATCTGATTACTAAACTTCCTTCCTCTAGAAAAACCTTTCTCTGAAAAGAAAAACGACTCTCTGGGGCAAAAGGCACAGAATGACAAGTCTCTCCAGTGTACCTTGCATCCTTGGGGGAAGGACAGAGGAGTCTGTAAGTAAAGAAAAATTGGAGTGCACCTGGTCCGGAAGAGCTGCATGGATTTTGGTTAAAGCATCTAACAAGTTTCCACCAATGTATAGCAGTGCAATTTATCCACTTACTTCAAAATTCTACAACTGAATCCTGGATGACAACAGGCCACACATTTCTAATAATAAAAGATCATCAAAAAGGCAATGAACCCAGTAATTATCAACCAATTACATGCCTTCCAGCAATGTTCATGCTCCTCACAGGAGTACTTGCAAGATCAATACCTAAATACTTAACTGAAAACTCCCTATACCCAACTGAGCAGAAAAGGAACTTTTTAAAAAGTCAAGAGGCAGAAAATATCAGCTGCTTATTGATAAAATTAATCTCAAGAATGCCAAAAGACGAAAAACAAACCTTAACATAGCCTGGATAGATTATAAAAAGACATTTGACACATTGCCACACAGCTGAATTAACAGCTGCCTAAAAATGTTTGGGACTAGTAAAAACATTCAGAAGTTCCTCAAGAAAACCATGGAAAAATGCAAAACTGTCTTAATGGCCCATGGTGAAGAAATTAGGGAAGTTAGCATCATAAGGGGAATATTTCAGGGGGATTCTTTGTCACCACTGCTGTTTAACATCTCACTAATCCCCATGTCAATAATTTTAAATAAAACAAGTGGGCTACCATATTTCAGAACAAGCAGGAAAAATCTATCATCTGTTATACATGGACAACCTAAAACTACATGCAAAAAGTTCCACAGAGATAGAATCACTGCTAAACACAGTGCAAATATTTAGTGAAGATATCCAAATGAAATTTGGAATTGATAAATGTGCAGCTCTGTCTATACACTGTGGCAAAACCCTAAAACTAGATGGAATAGAAATAATAAATGGCAATATAAAATCACAATCGAGTGATGAAAATTATAAATACCTTGGAATACTAGAAGCAGATAACATCATGCACAAAAAAGTTAAAGAACTGACAAATCATGTTTTTACTAGTCCCAAACATTTTTAGGCAGCTGTTAATTCAGCTATGTGGCAATGTGTCAAATTAGATTAGATCCCGGCCGTGAAAGCCTTCGCGAATAAATGTCTGGATCATTGACACTGCAATTCCAGGGGATGCCAGAGCTGAAAATAAAAAATTGGGAAAACTAACAAAGTACAGAGACCTAGCAATTGAAACATCTCGCTTCTGGAAGAAACACACTTCAGTTGTCCCCGTAGTCATTGGGGCTTTTGGGAACAATATCAAGAAACTTCACTCAGTATTATAAGCATTTGCAGATCTCAGAAATCACACCATCAGAGCTACAAAAACAGCAACATTAGGAACAGCATACATACTATGCCGAGATTTAACAGATACTTAGGTTTTAGGTTAAAACCTGTATCTGTTATATAATACCAATCAGTGTTTATAACGTTGACTGTGCCTGGTGTTTCTGAATGATGATGATGATGCCGAAGCTGCAGCAGGGCTTCCTGAGATGACATTTTTTCAATAAATACTTTCTATAGAGCCTAACGGGTAGCGAGACTAGTACTCCCAGGGTACTTCCTGCCGAGGTCAAATCACCCCCTCCTCACAATTAACAGTAGGAAGCAAAGGACCAAGAAGCAATGCCTCCTCAGAGGGAGGCTTTTCCTTGGCGAAATGTAGGCGAATGCAGGTGTGTGTCTCAGTCATGGCACCATTCTTGTGGAATGGGCTCCAGTTAGAGCAGTGGTCCCCAACTTTGGGCCTCCAGATGTTCTTGGACTTCAACTCCCAGAAATCCTGGCCAGCAGAGGTGGTGGTGAAGTCTTCTGGGAGTTGTAGTCCAAGAACATCTGGAGGCCCAAGGTTGGGATCACTGAGTTAGAGCTTCACCAGGCCTCTTCACTCCCAACTTTCAAGAGATGTTAAGGACCATGCTTTTCAAGTAGGTTTTTAAGGACATCCTCCCCTGAGGGACGTGGTGGCACTGTGGGCTAAACCGCAGAAGCCTGTGCTGCAGGGTCAGAAGACCAGCAGTCATAAGATCGAATCCACGCGACGGAGTGAGCTCCCGTCGCTTGTCCCAGCTCCCGCCAACCTAGCGGTTCGAAAGCATGCAAATGCAAGTAGATAAATAGAGACCACTTTGGTGGGAAGGTAACAGCGTTCCGTGTCTAAGTCGCACTGGCCATGTGACCACAGAAGATTGTCTTCGGACAAAACGCTGGCTCTATGGCTTGGAAACGGGGATAAGCACCGCTCCCTAGAGTCAAACACGACTGGACAAAAATTGTCAAGGGGAACCTTTACCTTTACCTCCCCTGAGTTATTCTGTATTTGGGTTGCTTGGTCCCGCCATCATTTCTGTTTTAAGTTTTAGATAGGTTTTGATTATTGGTTAATTTTTATTCTTACTGCTGATTTGTGGTGTTGGGTTTATTCGGTATGTGTGTTCCTTTTTATTCTCAACTGCCCAGAATAGTGCTTGTCACTATGTTTGGTGGTATATAAATATTTGGTAAACCAACCAACCAACCAACACGGAGCTTTCGGAATTGTGCCTGGGATAATGTTGGAGAATATTCAGAGCTGGAGTCCCCCCTTAAAAAAAAACAAAAAAGAAAGATTACACCCCTAACATTGGCCTCACAGGAGATGCAACCGGTTTTACTCTTTGAAGCCTTTAGCCTGTGACATGGATCTATATCTGTGGCCTCTTAGGCTCATCGATGGAAATGTCCTAGAAAACAAACCAAACTCTCCAGCAGGTAACCATCAAGGAAAACAAATCCTTACCCAGAGATGTTACAACAGCGTAATTTTCTAACATGACTTCCTTGTAGAGAGCTCTTTGGGCTGGATCCAGGAGATCCCACTCTCCCTTGGTGAAATATACAGCCACCTTATCAAAGGACATCAACTGCTGAAAGAAAGAAAGAAAATAGACTTCTACTCAGAGAAAGTCTTTCTCACACACGCTTCTACTCCAGGCTTGAAAGCAGATGTTCCACCTGAGTTCCATTGTAAGGTGTCCACTCCCCTTTAATTTTATATTTATGGGTTTTAGGACTTCAGATTTTCTCAACCCTGAGTGCTCACTGGAAGGACAGATCCTGAAGCTGAGGCGCCAATACTTTGGCCATCTCATGAGAAGACTCCCTGGAAAAGACCCTGATGTTGGAAAAGTGTGAAGGCAAGAGGAGAAGGGGACGACAGAGGATGAGATGGTTGGACAGTGTTATCGAAGCGACCAACATGAATTTGACCGAACTCCGGGAGGCAGTGGAAGACAGGAGGGCCTGGCGTGCTCTGGTCCATGGGGTCACGAAGAGTCAGACATGACTAAACGAATAAACAACAATTTTCTCATTTCATCAGGTCAAGCATTAAAATAAAGAGACAGGATTTTCTCTCCCTCCCCCATACCTGTGGAAAGAGAAAAGCATGAGGTCCCCTCCTGTTTCTCCCTGATGACCCCTACCTTACCTGAGATAGTTTCATAACTGCTCTTTCTCCTCTTCTAGGAGGAGATGATTCACAGCCTGCCTGTGTTGCCATCACACCTCCTGCGGGAGAGAGAAAGGCAGCCATCTCAGAAATGTCTCCAGCCACTCCAGTCATGCCCTTTCAAATCCGGAAAAGCTGAGCCCCATGTTTAAGCCCTGAAATATTAGAGAAATATAACAGGCTGAGAATTTAGCTGAATATCACCTGTTCTTAGGGTGTCGCTGTAAGTCAGGAGCAACTGGATAGGACATGACAACAGTAACAACTTATGCAGCTTCTCCAAGGTCTGGTTCTGAAGGTCAATATGAGCAGGAAGGGAACCTTCAGCCTCAGCATCTCCACCTGCCAATCTTTCCAAAGAAATGATTAGTTTTTCAATTGTGTTGCAAAGGGAATCAAGGCGACATTGGATCAAGGTGCAAACAAGGCGGATAAAAATCAATGTGTGTTTTTTTTTAAAGTCAAATTGATTTAAATCACAATGTAAATTTTAAAAAATCATTTAACATTTTTTTAAATGGTCAAAAAAATCTGATATTTAAAATTTCAGTCGTCATCCACCCAGTCTGTAAACCTGCAGTCCACCTGACCAGCAGCAACCTGAGTCCAGGAGCAGACTTTTCAGTTTTTGGCAAAGGGCTTTCAGAAGACAAATAAGAGCAAAGGTTCTTCCTCAAGAAGCAAACTGTAAAAGGACTCTTTATCCTAACTCTGGTGCAGAAATGAAATTCCTCCATTTCTAAACGCACACAGAGCAATGTGCAATACTAATAAGCTGTTCCGCAGAGTACACCTAAGGAGGCCAGGATGTCAGAAGAATCTGATTAAGTATACCTGACTCGCTCAGGTGTCCTACAGAAATGTTACGGGCCTCCCAAGCATAGAACAGGTTCGATGAGTTGTCAGATCTGACAGTGTCCCAGTTAAAGGGTTAATGCTGGAATGAAGCCAGATGGCCAGCGACCAGCTTTTCCAAACTCAGATACTGTAAGGCTTACTTAAAATATAATAATGCACCCTTGCAACGTGTACAAAAGAAGCAAGTGTTGAAACTTGGGTTATACTCAACATTTAAGCCACACTTGAATAAAAAAAAATACAAAAGCATCTTAAAAAGAAGAGCTCATAGAATATTTATTTATTTATTTATTTATTCTATTCTATTTATACCCTGCCCCCCCTAGACAGTGTCTACTTCGGGTGGCTTACAAAATCATAAAATATCATAACATAACAATAAAAACCAAACAATCAAATAAACAACATTCATAATCAAAATAGATCTCTAGGAGCTTTTAGAACCAGGTTCTGGACAATGAAAAGCTCTAAAAGTTCCAGATTATACAAGGAAAGGTCATCATGGAGGTCCAGGTTCGTTCTCTAGTATCCATACGCTTTGATCCACTAAGGCAGTGGTTCCCCAGCCTGGGGGCCTCCAGATGTTCTTGGACTTCAACTCCCAGAAATCCTGGCCAGCAGAGGTGGTGGTGAAGGCTTCTGGGAGTTGTAGTCCAAGAACATCTGGAGGCCCAAGGTTGAGGACTACTGCACTAAGGGATTTCTACTGAAGGATCCTTTTCTGAAGCCGCCCTGAGATCCACCCAGCTTCCAAGAGAGCAGGAATGAGGGCTGGCTCTCTTGATGAGGAGGAAGCCTGAGCAGATTTAAGCCACCCATAAGGGATGCATGACCTGTGATATTGTTTCCCCCCCTCCCCACGAACTCCCAGGATCAGCCACTGGAACCAATTGCGAAAGACTTTCTTAACCGGCAGGCTTACGAAATGCAAGCCGAGGTGCTTCGGGGACCGCAGGCCGTGAAGGTTGGAGATGTGCCCCCCCCTCGCAGCCCCTCCCGACGTGGGTCCGCTCCAGGCTTTGGCTGATTTGCTCGCTGCCTTAAAGCCCCCAAGAGACGGATCGGCTTACCTTCCGCCCGCAACCGGTGCGGAGCCATCGACCCCTTTCCAGGGATGTTTTCCTTCCCCTCCCCAGCAATATCTAGGGGGAGGGCTGGGGGTGAGAAGGGACTATGCCCCCCTCCCACCAATATGCCGCCCGTCCATTGCTGGGACACGATCACACGCGTGGACACCCCACCCCCATTTCCAGGCGACAAACTGAGGATGGGGGGGTTCTTCTCAGGCAAAAGCAGCTCGGCTGGTCTCCTTTTCCCTCGCCCCCCCTTTCTCGCATCTGTAGGTAGCCCCCTCCCCTCCTGCAGAAGCAGCCCCTTCCCCTTCCTGGAAGGGGAGGGGGGGTCCGAGGGTGGCCGCCTTTCCCTCTTGCAAGGGGGTCTGGCGTCGCGGAGAGCGCCTTTTGGCTCAACCCTAGGAGGACTGAGAGGCGAGGGCTGTTGCCATTTCACCGTCTTCCCACGACAAGTGGGTCAACGGCGTCGGTATCTTGTCGTTCAGACGTGTCGTCAACTCGCAGAGACCCCTAGGAATGACCGCTCTCTGAAAGGTCCTGCCTTCCCCTGCCCTGCTCAGCTCTTGTATAAATCCTGTGGTTTCTTTGAGGGAGTCGATCCATCTCCTGTTCCCTCTTCCTCATTTCCTGCTGCTTTCAACTTCTGCCAGCATGATTGTCTTTTCCCCAGACTCCTGCCTTCTCCGGATGTGCCCAAAGTAGGACAGCCTCCATTTCATCATTTTTGCCTCCAGAGATAATTCAGGCTTGGTTTGATCTGGGACCTTTTTTTTCTGGCAATCCAGGTCCACAAAGCTCTCCTCCAGCACCATTTTTTTTTCAAAACAATCAGTTTTTTTCCTGTCAGTTTTCTTAACTGTCCAGCTTTCTCACCCATACACAGTGCTCACAGATACAAGAGTGTGGATGATCTCGGTCAATGAATGAGTACTCCAGGGATTTAGAATGTGTTGCCATCATTTAGCTAATCTCAACCAGGGGTGTTTCCCCAAAGACTGAAAAATGATTTCTGTCCCTCAAGAAAACACACATCGCAACAACTGCTTTGTGCAGTAAAACACATTATAAACAGTTCAGACTTGATTCCATATATAGGACCCACTTTTGTTTCTGGCCGTCCTGCAAAGCTCTCCTCCAGCACCACATTTCAAATGAATCTCTTTCTTTACTATCTGGCTTTCACACCCATACGTACATGGTGAGCAGGAAAGAGTGTGGATGATCTTATGTGCTGCTTAATAATAATAATATTATGTTATTATTTAGATTAGGCATCCTTCAGTCTCGAGAGACTACGGTAACGTGTTCTGAATAGAGGTCTAGGAACAGTATCTAGTGTGGCTGAAAAGGCCAATTCAAGAGTGACATTTCCTTCCACAATGAAGACAAATCCAATCGCTGTCCAGCTCCCTGATTTTGCTGGTTTCGGGACTGCCTCTTGGCCTCGGCCTGCTGGATAAGGGTCTCCTCAAATTGGGAGAGGCCATGATGCACCGCCTGCCTCCAGGCTGAACGCTCAGATGTCAAGGTGTCCCCCATCTGTTGAGGTCCATTCCTAAGGCCTTCAGATCCCACTTGCAGATATCCTTGTATCACAGCTGTGGTCTCCCTCTGGGGTGATTTTCCTGCAATAATTCTCCATGCAGGAGATATTTTGGAATATGTTAATATTACTATATTATTATATTAATAATACAGTATGTGTATATGGTGTATATAGGTTAAATTACAATAAATTGAAGTTCAAATTGACAGGACGCGGCATTGTGGAGGTAATTCTTTCACAGGGTAACTGTATGTCAGAGGGGATTTAATTGCACACAACTACGACGGCTACTTTTCAAAGGGAAAGGCATCTGTGTTTTGCTTTTTAAATTGCATTTATAGTAGAAGTGAGGCTCCTAGGTGGTGGGGTCCAAATACATTTATACGGCCAAGGTTAGTCTACCTGGTATAATGAGTACAAGGAGGATGCAGAATGGATTGACACAGACATGCCCCATCCACAGAGAGCACGCAATACAAACATTGGAAGTACATTACAGTCAGGGTAATTGAACCAGCCAAAATGTTCTGCGTTCAATTTCAGCCCAAGCACTGGTGTGCCTGTTCAGTATTCACTTTATTGTAAAACAGGAGGAATTTTCACACAAAAGGAGAAAGGAGTAGATGGGAGCAAACAACTGTATTTCTTAAAGCTCTCTGCACTTTTCGATATTACTGCTTTACTGGTGTTTGCGAGTATGGTATTCTGTTTTATGTACACTGTTAGCCCACCACCCTGGGATCTTGTGAACAGGGGTACAAGCAATACATAAATAATTTGCCCATTTTCTGGTGTGCTGAAAAGTAATGCAAGTGTTTGATCTGAAAACACTCACCCTTAAACAAATCTTTAAAATGTCACAATGTTTCACCATTGGGTAATACAATGATTCATTCATACCCACCATAATAGCTTAAGACTCCGTAAAGTTACCAGCCAGCAACTCCATAAAGTTCTCCAGACACTGAACTGTGCCAGACCCATTTACCTTCCACAAATACAGTACTGGGTTATATTTCTGAGGGTTCAGACACCTGCATGAGGCCGCTATAGCGGAAAGGTTAACAACACCTGGGACTGTAAATCTTCCATTCATGGGCCAATCAACTGGCAGGGAGTAGACAAAGCTGGCCATGATGTTTTGTTGCTGGAGGCAAAGCAGAAAATGGGCACCCCCTCCCAATCTGTGCAAATAAAATAAAATAAATCAAGTGGACTGGTAGCTGAATCTCGAAGAATCCCACAAATCCTGTTTTTGTGATCACCTAATCTACCTGGCATACAATTTATCACTTAAGGCTAGGATCTGTGACCTCAAGCAATTAGCAGGACCTTTCCTAAATAGTGAACAAAACATTGTTAGTTGTTGTGGGTTTTTCGGGCTCTTTGACCGTGTTCTGAAGGTTGTTCTTCTTGACGTTTTGCCAGTCTCTGTGGCCAGCATCTTCAGAGGACAGGAGTAGGAACTCCGTCTGTGCTCTGTTGCTGTTTGTTGGATAGTTGAGTATTTATAGGTGAGGGAACAGCTTTTGTCCTTTTCAGGAGATTGGGTGATTATGGTGATCAGCGTGTTTTTGTTGTAGATGTATTGTTGTGATAAGGAGGAGAGATTATCATTTTAATATGACACTCCTTTTTAATATTTGTATACTTACTATTCTTAGCTTTAAAGCCGCCTGGGGTCCTTTAAGAAGAAAGGTGGGGGTAAATAATGAAATAAAATAAAAGGTGAGATAAATAATAAAATAAAACAAATAAATAATAACACTCACAGCAAAATAAATCTTTTAAAAATGCCACGGTATTTTGTTTTTCTCTCTCTCACTATTCTCTTCCCCCCCCTTCATTTAGCCAAAGGAGCAAACAAAGATTATCTAAGTGGAGGCTAATATAATAAACAACAAAACCATTAAATGAGGGAAAGCTCTTAGCCTGGCATGAAAAATTATCCTGTTGTCTATCAGAAGGGCCAATCTAGGAAAACCATTTATAAGAGCCTGAAAAAGCCTCCTCCCTAAAAAGTGAAAATGAAGTCCTTTTTCAAAGGTCATGTCTCTGGGCAAAGAAATAATTCTCTACTAAGGCCTTCGTTTTGTGTAGAATTTACTCTGTTCCTGCAATCCCTGATCAGGACATTTCCCCCCCCCCACTCCACTTTATGATGACACCTGTTCTGAATCCACGTCCCACCATAGTCCTAGGCCCGGCATCCGGCCCGCCTCAGTTTTGCCAGCTGGGAGGTTTTAATCTGGAGGCCTGAATTCCACAGAAAAGAAGTCACCGCATACTTATCAACCTTGTGTCATTTTTGTTTTTTCCTTACAAATAAATCGATTGAGGGAAGGTGGAGAGTCACAACATTGGAATATGCCCAGCTGCGGCCCTACCTTGATGTGGGGTCTCTCACCACTCTGGTGCATGCGCTTGTAGTCTCGAGATTAGACCACTGTAATGCGCTCTACGTGGGGCTACCTTTGAGGCTGCTGCGGAAACTACAAGTGGTGCAGAATGCGGCGGCCAGACTACTCAGTGGGCTGAGAAGATACCAACATATCTCCCCCACTCTGGCCGCATTGCATTGGCTGCCCATACGATTCCGCATTGATTTCAAAGTGTTAACGCTTACTTACAAAGCCCTAAACGGTTTAGGACCTCGATACT